TGTTCATCTTGTTCGAAATCGGCTCGTGTTTGAAATCGGCTCGTGAACAGTGTGTTTATGTTCGGCTCGATTTAAATATCCGTGTTCGTGTTCGGCTCGTTAAAATTAAACTGAAAAAATAGATGTTGAGTGCTGGATTCGAACCTGGATCAAATCTATTCAAAAGAAGATACATAACCACATTACCACAGGAGGAGTTATTTTTAAATTTAGATATAAATATATATAATATACATATGTTATTAAAAAATAATTATATATATTTTTTTTTTTTTTCGAGCTAAAACGAGCCAAACACTAGTGAATAAAGAACTGTTTGTGTTTATCTCATTTATAATTCGAGCTTAAAAAATTGTTCGTGTTCGCTTGTTTACTTAACTAACTAGCCGAACATGAGCTACTTAACGAGCAGAACATGAGGGGAAAATGAACTGCTTGCGAACAACGAGCTTTTTTGACCACCCTAGTTTTCACTTATTTGGAATTTAATTGAACGATAGAATTCAATAAATTGATTATTTTTTACTTATCTCGATTAATCAATTGCATGTGCACCACTATGGGCATGATATTTGAAGTACTATAGATTTGATATTTCATCTATATTGATTTATCTAGTTTAGTATTTTGAAATTTGTAGAATCAAAAGAATTACCCTGAAAATAATAATAATAATAAACTTTATAATTATTACGAGCATGAATATTCAAGACATAAAAAGGGAATTTATCTTATCATTCGGTATAAATCCATAGTACAAATAAGTACAAATGATGATGGAATACATTAGATTTTTACATGAAAAGCTTAAGAGATTGGGTCTAGTCCAATTGAAATGATTTTACCGTATCATATATTGGTAGTATGATGCAACATTGATGAAGTATGAAAGATGACATCTATGAAGAAAATATGAGAAACCTTAGCATGAGAGTTATTATAACAAAATAGTAATGGTATGCTCTATTATTCTCCTTATAAAAGGGTAGACCAATAATCAGGCGGGCGGTCATTAGCCTTGTTCACAATGTAAGTGGCACTAACTATTAGCGTTGGTGGTAACATTGAGCAACTATATTAGTGTTGATGATGAGTATTAATGTTGGGAGAAGTGATAAGTGTCAATATTATTAGACATGGAATATCTATTTTATTATTATATATATATATATATATATATATATATATA